GAGTTTGCTCTTGATATTAATAATTTCCAGTGTTTATGGCTTTGGAAATATTTTAAATTTGTCGTATCATTTTCATAGTTCGATTCTAAGGCGTACTAAGTCTCCATCCCAACAAAGAGAGTTCGAAGATGAGGTATATACACATTAATAGTACTCTTGAAATAAAATAGAAATGTATTAATTACTCGACAATTTTTTATGTTATACTCGACAATATCATACCATATAAAAAGGGTACAAACAAAAATTGGACTTTATTTATTTCTTTTAAAAAGTCTAGTATAATTTCGTTTGGATATGTCAAACCATATATCCAAACAATTGAACCTAACACTTGGATCATCATTCAAGTGTGGGCCCCATGACGAGAGAGAATTTAATGAAATCGTAGAGATAAATTATAAAAGATGTTTTTCAATGGGATTGTGAATCACACCGATTGTGGGCTCCATGTAGAAGAGAAAATGTAAAGAAATCGAAGAGATAAATTAAATGAAAAATATTCAGTATACTTAATACCTTCCAATAAAGATAAAATTTAAAAATTAAGTGGAGAAATTGCGCTAGACATCATTTACTTTCTCCGTATTCATGTAAATATTTTGATGTAATAAGATATATGTTTTATAGAGATGCTCCAAGTCATAAATTTGCCTTTAACCTTACAACACCAAATTGGATTGGAAAGACAACGGTAGTAGTAGGTGAAAATGTCGGCGTCTGTTCGGCCGTCAACAAACGGCTTCCGTCACTCTTTTGGGTAGGTAAAGCCTACGTGGAAAAGTCTACAGTCAAATTCATCAAACACTACAATGCCAGGGCCACGTAAGCCCTGGTATTGCCAGGGGGCCAGCCCCTGTGATAGGTGGGGGAGATATTTTTGGGTGATGCTACATGTACACTTCTTCCATTACACAATCATTTACACCCCCTCACATGGAGGGGGGCCCACGATTATTTTATTATGTGTGAACCCCTCTTCATGTAAAAAGGGTGTAAAAGATTGTGTAAAGAATTATGTACACATAGCTTTATTCGATATTTTTCATCAGATCTCTCCATTACCTACCCATAAGGACCCCATCCCTACCCCACTCAAATACCAAGTCTTTCTCTATCTCACCAACCGCACCAAAATTAAACAAATCCACTAATTTACCCTTGAACAACCCATAATTCCCATCATGTCCATTTCACCAACCACCCTCCTTTACCTTCACCAAAACGCACCCATATTTATATTCCTACACATTGCACATTCATTTCCAGGATCAAAACACCCTTTTTTTCCTTATTTTCTTCAAAAACTTCCTTAAAATTTTAACAGATTTCCATCAATGGAGACTAAAGCAATGCAACAAGAGACAATTTTCAGATCAAAACTGCCTGATATTTACATCCCAAAACACCTCCCTTTGCATTCATATTGCTTTGAGAACATCTCCCAGTTCAGTTCGCGTCCATGTTTAATAAATGGAGCCACCAATGAGATCTACACTTACGCAGAAGTCGAGCTTATATCTCGAAAAGTGGCTTCCGGGCTTAACAAGATTGGGATACAACAAGGTGAAACCATCATGATTTTACTTCCTAATTCACCTGAATTCGTTTTCGCATTCCTGGGCGCATCGTATCGTGGCGCCTTATCGACTATGGCCAACCCATTTTTTAAGCCGGCCGAGGTCGTGAAGCAAGTAAAGGCATCGAACGCTAAGCTTATAATAACACAAGGATGTTATGTGGAAAAAGTTAAAGAGTATGCATTAGAGAATAGTGTGAAAGTAATGTGTATAGACGAGCCGCCGGAGGGTTGTTTGCTGTTTTCAGACCTAACTAAGGCCGATGAAAATGATATGCCGGCTGTTAAGATTAACCCCGATGACGTGGTGGCGCTGCCGTACTCCTCCGGGACGACCGGGCTGCCAAAGGGAGTTATGCTTACACACAAGGGACTTGTTACAAGTGTGGCACAACAAGTTGATGGGGAGAATCCAAATTTGTACATCCATAGTGAGGATGTAATGCTGTGTGTATTGCCACTGTTTCATATATATTCATTGAATTCTGTGCTGCTGTGTGGATTAAGGGTTGGTGCAGCGATTCTGATTATGCAGAAATTTGATATTGTTCCATTTTTAGAGTTGATACAAAAATATAAGGTGACAATTGGACCCTTCGTGCCTCCGATCGTGTTAGCTATCGCTAAGAGTCCATTGGTCGATAAATACGATCTTTCATCCGTCCGGACGGTGATGTCCGGTGCAGCGCCGCTAGGCCGGGAGCTTGAAGATGCCGTTAGGAGCAAGTTTTCAAAGGCCAAGCTTGGTCAGGTACGTTACCTCTTGTCATATTGGATCGAGTGAAATATGTTTTTACTATCGTAATTGCTTGTATTATCAATCTTTTTATTTTCTTTCTATATTAAAACATGTATTTTTATGCATTTATTAATTTTACTTTTCATTGTAATCATTCAATTGCATGATAGATTTTGACTTTTAGAGAGAGAGAGAGAGAGATCTCGTAATAAATAAAATTAAAAATTATACTATTAAAGTATTGATGTTCACACGATGAGAGAGAGAGAGATCTTGTAATAAATAAAATTAATGTTAACAACTAACTTTTTTTCTTTTTCTTTATAAGCACAACTAAATATGTTTGAAATGAAAATCTACTATGTAATTAAGTAATTATTTGGAATTGAATTGCAGGGTTATGGAATGACTGAAGCTGGGCCAGTGTTGGCAATGTGCTTGGCCTTTGCCAAAGAACCCTTCGACATTAAATCTGGGGCATGTGGGACCGTTGTTAGAAATGCTGAGATGAAGATTGTAGACACAGAAACTGGTGCTTCTCTCGGCCGTAACGAGAGCGGAGAAATCTGCATCAGAGGTGATCAAATCATGAAAGGTATATATGTCTACTCGATATTAGACAAATCGTTTATAATTACAACACGACGTATTAATTTTTATTTACGTCTCTTTTAACAGTATATTGTGGTCGTCCACGCTAGTGAATGTGTGGGCTTACTTGTGTACGACAAGAATGTGGATGTTTTGAACATCCTCATTCACCATATTTTTATTTTTTCCCATCGATTTTTACCTGCCAATTATTGAATTGATAACCTTATAAGTGATTAGGTCACACATCACGATTTTGTAAAAGTAGAGGTTGAGAAAAGGTGTGGAGTTGGTGGCTTAGCATCAGCATTAGATTAAGAAGTGATTAACACATATTTGGCTTTTAGTCCAGATTAGCTTACCTACCCTAGGGTAAAGTCCAAGAAACTTCAGTTTACTTAATTTCTAAGCATATAAACCTCGTTTGACAAATTCATAAATAATTTATACTAAGAAATAGTAAGAGTAATGGTAGTTGTCCCGCTAAATGTTTGAATAATAGTAAGTAGTAATTATAAATATGTGGTTGAAATTAAAAAAAAAACATGCATTAATGACAAGGGTATAAACGACTAGTGTCGACGGATTTTTCCAGTCACATAGGTGTTTTATCAAACTGACAACCTTGTACACGATTTACAGGTTATCTGAATGATCCAGAGGCCACAGAAAGAACAATAGAGAAGGATGGGTGGTTACATACAGGTGATATAGGGTTCATTGATGCTGATGATGAGCTTTTCATTGTTGATCGTCTGAAGGAAATTATCAAATACAAAGGTTTTCAAGTTGCACCAGCTGAAATTGAAGCCCTTTTACTCAACCATCCCAATATTTCTGATGCAGCAGTTGTCCCGTATGTACTTAATTTAACAATATGAATTTGCTTAACTTAAAGATTATAAGTGAAAATTTTGGATTATAATTAATTTTGCATGATTATCAGAATGAAAGATGAGGAAGCAGGAGAAGTTCCAGTTGCTTTTGTTGTTAAATCGAATGGATCCAACATCACCGAGGATGAAATTAAGCAGTTCGTTTCACAACAGGTCGGTTTATCGCATATTTATCTACTTTAGTATTCTTGTTCAATTCTTAAACATAATTTATCGATACATTGGTCATAAAATGCAAGAAATATTCGAGTAATCTAACGTGTTGTGATGTCGTGCAGGTGATCTTCTACAAGAGAGTAAGCCGTGTGTTCTTCGTTGATGCCGTTCCCAAGTCTCCGTCGGGAAAAATATTGAGAAAGGACCTGAGAGCCAGATTAGCCGCGGGTGTTCCCAATTGAATCTTGCACAGGTCCGGCCAGCATCCTAGCCATAAGTCAAGAACACA